CATGATTATCTGCTGCATAGCACTATTTTAGAACTGATGATGATAAACTGCTTTTGAACTTATATTGCACATGTAAGTGAGCTTGGGGTGGAAGATCCTTGAGGACCCCTTGCCTTACTGAGATTTCTTGTTTAGAGATCTCACCCCACATTTGGGGAATGCTTATTTCAGGTTCAGGTAGTATGGTGACTGATGCCTCTGGCGGCAGGAGGCCAGAGCTTAGTTAATGGTATTACTGCTTATTTGCTAGCATGACTGGACTGGATGCTGTTTATGTTTTTCGCATTATTATTATGTTGTTGATGTTGAGACTTATATGGGCTTGTTGCCTTATTTGGGTGAGCATGGGAGTTGTCCATGTCACTATGTTGTTAGTACTTTTGAGTTGATTTGTATAAACTGATAGTTGGTTCGGTCTACGTGTTGTAGTTTCGTGACTAGAGACATACTAATGTTATTTTAATTAATGAGGTATTTCAGTTAGATGTCTTTTGCAATTTACCTACAGGCATGATTTTATTTAATTGATTAATTAAGCAAGTTGGTAATGATGATGACGTCATAATTGAAAAGAAAAAGATATTCCGCATTTTTAATTAAGCGCAACTTAATACGATAGTATGATAACATTATCAGATATATACGGGATGTTACAATAGAAAATAACTTCTGGATACATTTTTGTGTTGGCTAGTGGTGTTATCTTATGGAAAAGCACAAAACAAACTCTCATCATGAGTTCTACTATGTATGTTGAGTTTGTCGCTTGTTATGGTGCTTTTATTCAAGCAGTGTGGCTGAGAATTTTTATCTCTGATTTGCGGTTAGTGAACTCTATATCCAAACCTATGGCGATCTATTGTGATAATATTGCAGTTGTGTTCTATTCCAAGAATGACAAGGTTAACAATGTTTCAAAACACATGGAAATCAAATGCTACACAATCAATGACTTGGTTAAAAAAGGTGACATTGCTATTGAAAATATTAGGATTGAGTTCATGTTGGCAGATCCATTGACAAAGGGATTGTGACCCGTATTGTTCAAGGAACATGTGATGAATATGGGTATCTTAAATTCTTTTCATTCCCTTGATTAGTGGCAACCATGTTTATTTATTTTGCTTTCAGTTATTCTGCATGCAGACTGATGCCTTTTTATAAGAACTATTGAAGTTTTATGATTGATGATCATCGTTATTTTGTTATTATTTTTCTTTTGTCGATTGAGAAACATAATTGTCTTTAAACATGTTGTGAAGTTTAAAGATATATAGTTGTCACTGTTGAGATCTCATGTTGTACTGTGACATACTGGCTTGCTTAAGAAAAGCAATTTCATGTGAATTGCAGTGATACGATTTCATGTTGTTGAGAAATTGCATCAAGAAGTGTAATTTCGTGTTGCTTGGAAATTGCACTCATGTAATTTCATGTTGTTGAGAAATTACATTGAGGACCAATAAGAATTAGTGTGTTACATTGTTGAACACATTTTGGCACTAATTCTTACTACACTACTAGATTCGTGATTCATGAAGATGTCATACTCATTGTACGTGAGTGTGGAAGGTCTTATGCTATGATATTTTTGGTATATTGATCGTCATGTTCCTATATTATTGGGTTATGTTGGATTAAATTGTATTGAGATGCTGGAATTTGAATATTGTTTTTCAAAATCATGGCAACATCAAATAATTTTTTGAGTAAATACACGATGACCGTTTTAGTCCCTAGCAAATAAAAAGGTCCATCGTGGTCCCTAAGAAATTCAAAATGTACCCATTTAGTTGAAATTGTGATCCCTCACAAATTTAAAAAAGATCCATATTAGTCCTCAAAATGACTAAAATGGGTTCATTTTGAGTTTCTTAGGGACCACGATGGGCCTTTTTATTTGCTAGGGACTAAAGCGGACATCGTGAAATTTGCTGAGGACCAAAAAGGGTATTTACTCTAATTTTTTAGTTATTAACCTGATTGAGTCATTTTCAAATAAAATAATTTTCAAAATAATATTAAATCAATTAATATAGCCCAAGGGAAAGAACGTTAAAAAATTTCCTTTATGTGTGCAATATTAATTAATTAATTTTATGTTTTAAAATTAATTAGGTTAATAGATATTCGAATTCTATTATTTTGATTAATCTATTATGATCATGTTAAGTTGGACTTATGGCATTTGTTGGTATTGGACTTAGTTGAGCAGTAGTGTAGATTTTAGTGTAACACTAGTTTTCATAATGGGTGGACCTAGTGGATACAAATTCTTTTCAGTGTATTTGGTTAGGTCTCCTCTGTAGCCTATTTATATTGGAGTTAGACCTTATCAGCCATCAAGCTCTAATCACAAGAAGGCTGCAATTTTTGAAATAGGCAATAGAGAGAAATATCCTGGCATCTAATTTTCTTATTTCCTCTATCTTTTCTCTAACTTTGTGATGGCCTAACAAGATATGCAAAATCATAACTTTGATTTATTTTTATTTGGCATTTTATATTCATATAAATGATTCATTAATAATATTTATCAACTCTGCCACACTTTATTAAAACACAAACAGAGCCTTTAAATAGGCATTGAACATAACTCAAAGAGAAATTAACATCAGCTAATCTAAGAGTAGATTCTATCATTCTAACAAGCATTAAACTGGAAAATTGAAATAAATAACGAAAACAAGAATTATACTAGTGGCCGACTCAGTCAAAAACAAATATCAATTTTGGATCAGTCCGCATGTGTGCAAAGCCACTGACTATGAGCGCAAAGATATTAGTGGTGCATGTGTGCGTATATTGTTACGGAGGAAGGATATTCTTATTATCAAAATTTTCTACTACTATCTTATTATTTATCTAATCACTATTGGATCAAAAATTTTTCTTTTTTCAAAAACTTTTTAGCATTTTTTTTTTAATTCAATGGTGATTAGATAGGTAATAAGTTAATAATAGAAAATTTTAATAGTAAGAATATCCTTACTCATAGTTATGATAGTAAGATAGACTCATTTGCATTGTACCTACCACCACCCCATTGGATTTGCAACAGGGTGAACCCCTTAGCGCACACGTAACGTGCAACAATGATGATTTACGTGATGGTCTCTTAGTTATTATTGTTTGTTTAAAACACATTAAATTGTCTTTAGTTGTGGACTTTTAGATTGTCTTTCGGACAAACACGACAAGACTTAATTGGCCTACTATCATTACAAATTTGATCAATTGAAACGATAAGATGTGTACTCAATAAAATCTAAAGACATGCTTTAGTAAAGTTAAGATATGATTAAACTTGGGTTATTTTTCTTACCTCCATTCCATACTTGTTAGCAGGATTTAATGGGGAATTATTATTTTTTAGATTATATGGAAACTATACAAAGCTTTCTTTATTACGTGCACCAAATAGCCTACAAGGACATGAATGTTATAGAATAATTGTGTCCTGCGTCAGTTTGACATAGGCCAATATTAGGGATGTGCATGGATCGAATTAAAGTGAATATTTTGAAGAACTGAACCGAATTGATTTAACGGTTCAGTTTGAATTGAAAACAGTTCGGTTTGGTTCTATTTAAAAACAGTTCAGTTCGGTTCAGAATCGATTTGGGTCAAACCTATTTTGAAAAAAATAAAAAAATAAAGAGATAAAATAATTCAGTTCGATTCGAAAATAATTCTGTTCTGTTCGGTTCTTAAATTGGTTTCTAAAAACCAATTTTTTTAAAATCAGTTCAATTTAGTTCACATATCAATTCAATTTTTTGATTCTCTTACACACCTATACAGAGGCCCCCGTTATAACCTGCTATCCCCACAATCTTACTTTGCGAGAAATGAATGCTGAAGATTAGAGGAAGATATATTAGCCTTCTATTGAACTGTGTGGGATTAGAGACATACTCTTCTACACGCCAATAATCTTAATATGGAGTATTGGGCTCTAATTCTAAGGATATTAAAATCCTTTAGGCTAAACATGTTTTGAAAAAAGTTCTTATAACGAAAAGTTTTTTTTTTTATAATAAAGAAAAAAGTTAAAAATTAAAAGGTTTTAGGAAAAACTTTTTTTTAAGTTCTTATCTATTTTTCTTCAATTGTGTATTTTTTTTAAAATAAAGAGTGATAAAGATAGAAGGAGATAATTTTCTTAAAATATGTGTTTTTAAGCTAAAATTTTTATGTAATTTTCAAACAGCTTTTAACTTCTTTTTTAAAAAAAATTTAGCTTTAACTTATAACTACCTTCTAGCTTAAAAATAACAACATCCAAACAGGAATACGTGACAAACACGACTCTAGATTATTAGGGATGGTACAAAGATTGGCATCGTAACGGAGCATCCGGTTTCTTTTCGAGAACTACATCATAGAAATGGAACGGCACGGCAAAGTAAAAATGTAGCTTATTCGGGATACTGATCAAAATGTCACTGTTCACCAACTTTTTTCCCTAAATGTCACGCGAACAGTGTTATTTCCCAATCTGCCTCGGGGGCAAGTTCGCTTCTGACACAAGTGATCTCGGTTTGCTGACGTGTCATATTTTTAGTAGATAACAAGTATTAAATTTAAAAAAAAAAAATTCAAAAAAAATGAAGTTCGCCTAAGAAGAACTTGGTTAAAATATTCTTGAAACCGAGGTCGTCTGTGTCAGAAGCGAATTCTGACACCACCAGAAAGCTGACACATCAGCAAACCGAGGTCGCTTGTGTCAGAAGCGAACTTGCACCGTGGCAGATTAGAAAATAATACTGTTCGTGTGGCATTTAAGTAAAAAAATTGATGAACAGTGGCACAATGTTCAGTGTTCCATCTTATTCCTTACACAGACCGAGCACCAAACCTGTCAATCATAACCGTAAGTCCGTAACCTTTCAAATTCAATCACGGGCAATAACATAGCTCAAACTAAAAAAGCATAAAGTAGATGTCATCATTCATTATTTATAATACACGCCTATGGATCTAAACCCAAATAAATATTAGTTGGAAATGCCGTTGATGAAGTCAGGGTCATCTCCCATGGACTCCAAAATCTCATAAGGAAGGCACACTTCAAGGTCAACGCTACCTTCTTCTGCCCCAGCAAACATGGTAACCATTCCATTAATATTAGTTGAACCGCCACTTCTCACTGCCACAGGTTTTCCCCAACCAAAGTCGTTACCATAAACATCGAACCTTGGGGAACTTCCCGTGGCCAAGGCGAATCTATTAGACAACCGATCCGGTTGAAGCAGGATTGGGGTTCTCGCCATAGACTCATAGTGACTCTTCACCTTCTCATCAGATTGCAAAGCTATCATCTTGTTCATCTCCCAAGCACCTTTGCAAAACCCACCTTCAAGTAGTTCCCCTGCTTTCATAGTCACAACACCAACCTGCAATGCGTTTCCAAAATAATTCTCTGGCAACGGTGGAACCAATCTCCTCCGAACATCTATTGCTAACAAGTAACAAATCTCTTCTTGTGGGTCAACTCGCTTGCAAGGAATCACACAGCACCAAAGGTGAGTTAAAAGCGCTTGGAGAGAAGATATTTTTTGAGCGGTGGCCTCTGCATTAGCTTTTGATTTGAGTTGCGATATTTTTTCCTTCGTGAAATGGAAGATCCGAACAGGTAGTGGTTTCGGATGTGGGTTGGGGTTTTCGGAGTGTTGAGTCTCTTTCTTTGTGAAAGGAAAGCGTATTGGAGGGTTAATGCCATCGAGAAACCAATGTTCAAGTAATGGGAGTTTGGTTATTTTATCGAAACCACGTGAGATTTCAGCCCATGAATTGATGAAATGCCAAAACGACTTGCCGTCAGCAGCCACGTGGTTGATTGTGCAGCCAATGAAGATGCCGTCAACTAGGTTGGTGACTTGCACTGCTAGCAACGGCTGCGATGTGCCTTCTTTGTTTTTAACTCCGTTAAGTGGAAAGAAGGAGTGAACAATTGGAGGAACGTAGTTGGGTTTAAGGATGTCAGCAACACTAGTGTTCTCTGCTACGGCATGGACAAACAGTACACCGACGTTGTTGCACGCGATGAAAGCGGATGCAGTGTTGTCTTTGTGTTCTGTAATGATGAGACAACCTGCGAAGGGTGGAAAGAATGCAAGAGTGGAGGAAAGTGAGCGTTCGAGGTTCTTGATTTGGATTTGGATTTGTGTGTCTTCTGCGTTGATGGGGTTGTGAAAAAGAAGCCCTTTTTGGTTCATCCGAAGGTTGAGGGATTCGAGATCCCATGGAGTTAAATGGATTTTCTGAAACTGAGTTGAGTCAACGTCAGCCTGACTCGGAGCTTGGATCGTACTGGTCGAGATGACTCGGACAGCTGACATGGTTGAAGCGTAGACAGAGGTTTTTTACTCTGTATTTTGCGTGAGAGAGGGGACATTAACCATCTCTCAACTTCATCTTTTAATGGATGCATTGGGAACATAGAAAAGAATTATTATTATTTTAATTAGTTGAAATAAAATAAAATAAATAATAATCAAATGAAGTTTATTTATTTTATTTAATATTTTTCATTTAATTCAAAAATATAAAATAACATTAATTTAGTATTTAGTATTTTTTATGGAAAAAAAGTTTCCGATGTTACTTTAGATAACTTTATCTAATGTTCATCGAAACGACGTCATTTTAGGGTTGAAAAATTAAAAAATTAGAGTGATAAAGACTATTATAATCCTGAAATAAATTAAAATTATAAAAATACCTTGATTCCGTTCCAAAACAAGGTCGTTTTGATAAACATTAGATAAAATTATTTAAAATAACATCGACAAAAAACAAACTCATTTTTTATTTTATTCGCTTTTGACAATTTTGTTACAACTTATTCTATATCCCTCCATCACATTATATTCTACTTCATCAATTATAATATGTTCAATTATATGCAACTTGTCTCTTATCAAAATTATAAACAAAGCATCAAGCTACCGATGAGGAATATTTTAGAGGAATCTTCAATTCTCCGATAAATTTTCAACTTAATATATACTGGAGGAGCCTCGATTTTCTCACTTGCTCACATGTCATCAGAAAAAGAGAGTTAGCAACATTATTTGACATTTTTTAATATATTTTATTATTAAATCAAATCTCACGTTAGTCTTATTAAATAATTTGTTTTTTTTGAAGTATCTAATATTATTTTAAATAATTTTATCAGATGTTCACTAAAATGATGTCGTTTTGAGGTTGAAAAATTAAAAAATTAGAATAATAAATATTATCATAATCCTAATATAAATTTAAGTTACAAATACTATATTGATCAATGATCATAACGTGTTTAGATTAGTTTATTTTAGATATATAAAAATGGTTATTAATCAAATTTAAAAAAATGAAAACCAAAGTATTATTTATCAAAGATGAACTGTTACGCAACACGCTCTCAATGGCGGAGTCAGCTCCAATTTGAGCCTGGATCAAAAAATTATACGCATATTTTTTTTTAATTTTAGTTAGTTTATATCATAATATATCTAAATTATATTAAATATTGAGCACTTGAGCAGGCAACACACCAAAAAGAGTTATAATTTTATTGAATATTTTTAATAAAAATATTTTATTTTTTTATACAAGTAGAAATTGAACACATAATTTAATGCAACTTATCCAAATCTTTTATCAAAAATATTTTAAGTTATTGATGAAGCCAATTATAAATTGTAACACGGGCCAAATTATAATTTTAACCCTGGCCAAATTATAATTAATTATATATAATAACTACAATTTGTTAAAATTTAGCCCGTACCAAGACCATACCAAGTTATATGTGGCTCTGCCACTATATGCTCTATTTTTTTTTTACAAAATAATTGATATTTCAAAAACGAATCATACATGTAATGTTAGAAAAAGTTTTAATAAAAAATACACCATTAGGACCCTACGCATACGTATTCTAAAATTTTATCTGCATGCAACATTTAATTATTATTTTTGTGCCTTATAATATTCCTAACTTAATTAAATAGTAAATTACATGTAATTAAGTAATTTAGTATGTATTAGTGGGTTGAAATAAGTAAAAGGCCTAATTAAATTAATTAGGGTCACTTTTGAGATAAAAAGTGCAGTCGGTGAAAATTATGGAGAAAGTGTGTGTAGGTAAAAATACCCAAAATAAAAAAGTAAAAGTAGAAATATTCCTAGAAAAATATTTTAGGCCTTTGGGTAAAGTTTGAAAGAGAACAGAGTTAACTAGATAGATAAATTTTTACCCGATTGAACTTAACTTAAGTAAGTTAAGTCAAGATACCACACAACTCTCTCATTTTTTTTTCTTATTCTTTGATAGCCACCAAAGAGAGGGAGGGAGATGAGAGAAGCTTTTCAAGCCCTAAGATCACAACTCTCTCATTTCTTAACCATTTTCATTGATTCCAAATCCTAAATCACTTCAAATATTTCCCTCCTTCTTAACCCTAACTTAGTTTTGAGTGGAAACCTTGTGGAGGGAGATATTTTCTTGGTAGAGGGGAAAAAATTTGATATTGGAGGAGCTTGAGGTGAAGTCTTCCATTCTTGTGGCTTGGAACTCCTTCTTTGGATCATTGTGGTTGTGTTTGTGGTAAGAACTCTAACTCATTTGGTTATTTTGAGTTTGAGCAATAGTTAGAGTTTAGTTTATTAAAATGCATGAATAGTGGGATATGTTGGAGAGAGATTGAGACTAAATTCCTTTGTAAAAGTTGTTAGGAAACGTAAATAAACGGTAGAAGTGAAGTCAGTTTGTGATTTGAGTTAGTTTCAACAATCTTAGAAAATTATGCTTAAAAGTGTGGATTTTCTTGCATTGTTGAGCCTTGATTGATTGTGTCCATATGATTGCTAGATTGAAGCAAGTGGACCAATTGTGAGTGATCAAGCCATGAGGGAACCAATGGAGCTTGGTTTGGGTACTTGAATTATTTCAAGGATTGGTAAGTAGCCTAACCTTGTGGTCAAGCATTGTGGTGCCTTGTGTGACTAATGTGAATGGAAGGATTCCTTTAGTTACCATGGGACTATTGATAAGTTAATAGAATATGCACCTAAATAGAGGTGTTGAGTAGGAAAGCTTGTTTTAATAACAATTCCAAATAAATTCTTTGTTGATTGAATTCTGGATTTTGTTTAGGTAACGTTGGTGATTGGAAGGAATTACCAAGTGTCATACCAAGAAAGGTTGGTGTGGATAAGTGAGCTAGAGGAAAGCTTGATTGTGGAACTTGGTGAAGGACAAAGGTAGATTGGAAACAATAAAGGTAAACCTTTGGATCTTGGAGGTTAATCCCTCTTGTTGTTCCACCATTGCTTTTATGGAAGTAATGGTTAATGAATGGATGATTGAGTGGTAATATTAGTATTATGGTATGTTTACATTCATATAGTATTGGTGTGTCATTGGAGAAAGGGCCAATGGACAAGCACTAGGGGCTAGGTTGTATGTTTAGTGGAAAGGACTAAGATGCAATTGAAGCGTGTGTGATGATTTGATTGTTTAATTCTTTGGCCATTTGAATGCATGAGTATGTTGTGATTAAATCATTACTTATAGTGCCTCTAGATATATGATGTAGTTCATTCTATGTGTATACTAACCCTTCATGCAGGAAGTGAACTCTGGAGTTGGAGGAATTCTCCAAGAACCCTGGGTTTATTGAGTTTTATCTTATCCCGTTTGGGAACTGTTATTTCAGGTACTAGCATGGATGATGCAGGTCGGGAACGAGGCAAGAGGCCTGAGTAGATTTCCATATGATAGCATGTGATATGATTGTTTTGAAGTGCCTCATATGTATTTATATTTGATTGCATCTTATATTTTGGTAGAAAGATATGTATAGGATGCACATTTAGTAGTAATATTTTAGTGGACTAACAGTATGTATTTTTGGGGACTTAGACCATGACCATAGTCATTTTGCATCCTTGATAGTTGAAAGGAGCAAAATAGCTTTGATCATGTGTTTTGTTAAGCCTAAGTTCTAGAACCCTGATCATTATGTAATTGTATTTGCATATATGTGATAGAAGGGCTTTCAAGCCTCTTTGGATATCATGTGAGCCTTGAAATGGCAAGAATCATGTATTGAAATGGTTGTATAATGTCTATTAGGTGAAAGAAAACTTTTGGGGTTGAGAATCAATGTAAATATAATGATATTATGTCTTGTTGTCCATTTTTCATATGATATATGATATATTTTGACCCTTATATCTTGATGAAAGTTATAGATCTTTTACTTAACTTTCTAACGAGACCAAGATTGCGTCAATCGGATAAATATAACTCAAGTTATGGGTAAAATATTAATGTAGGGTGAAATCTCCAGACCGCGTCGCTGTGAGCGGCAAAGTTGGCGCTGTCAGTGCGGGATGACGTGAGGAAGTCGGTGTTCCAGCACTACCAGCACTGGACCCCTGTGTAATTCAACATCATTTTCTTCAAAACTTCATAACTTGAGCTATGGTACTTCGAATTGAGCGCGGTTTGAATCCACCCGTAGATAACGAAGAGATATAAAACATATTGGGAGATGAGGATTATAAAAGTAGGATAAAATTTCTTAAATAACTAAAAGTGTAGATGTTTAGTGTTAAATAACAATAAAAATGAGTTTTAAGCCTTGTTGGTCTAAGGGGACTACTTGGCACAATATGGTAGCAACGTATGGTTTAAATAAAACTACATTAAGTGTTCCACTTAAAGTTTAAGTTACGATTACAGTTATTCGAATTGTTTTAATTACGAAATTAATTTTAAACAAGAATATTTATAAATAAAAAGGAAAAAATTTATCCGTACTTTAATTCAATTGTTGTGAATGTAACTGCGTCTAATGTCATACATAATGTTAACAAACCGGTTCTAGAACGGAGTGTTACATGCCTTGTCGTTATTTTTGGCTGAGAATAATTTTCATAATAAAATTGGCAAATTATATTATAAAGTTGTTGTGAAGTAGTTGGTCCTTCCCTCACCTACTACGGATGAGAACAGGCTAAGTATAAATAAGTTACTATTCTTTTAAAAGCTACTCAGTTAAAAGGTTATATTTTAGTGAATTCATAAAAAAAATTTACGATCCAACTTATTTAAATGAACATGAATATATTATTATTATTATGTTTTGAAATTATACTTGTTAACTTATTTAAAGGCATAAATCCATTGATTTACATGAAGACATGTTAGCCTATTTAGGTATAGTTTTGGTGGCTTATTTTTATTTATTTATTTTGCTTTACCAAGAGGTATTCTCATTCAATCCCCTCCAGTTACTTTATCCTCGAAGTACAGTCTCTAAGGCTAGCTCTTCATTGATAC